AGCAGTAGTCTGTGTTTCAATCTAGAAAGTTTTAGTTAACATTTATCATTCCAAGAACATAAATAGCAAAGTGTTAGTGCCTTTGAAACATTGAGACAAAACTTTGCATAACCCAAGGTGAAGTGGAATAATTTAGAGAAACTTAAAACTATTTGTGTGTATGTTTAAAACCCGGACGTAGTTTTCACTTCAAAGTAGAATGCACACTTTTCCTAGTGACAGATGCATTTAAGGTTTTCCCAGAGTGGGGTCTGGAAAGTCCGTGTTTCTAAGAGTAGAAGAAATAGGTTGTTTCTAGCTGAATCTTAGGAAAACGATCTCACTGCTGCATCCTGCTCTGGTGCACTCAAATGAGGTATGGCTTTGCATGGTAAAGCCAGAGGGCACTATTGCTGCTTTCTGCCAAACAGCCGGTTTTCTAGGGCTGCTGCATGATGTCATAGAATAAAAAATTAAAAAAAAAACACGGAAACTCTTTCAAAATAGATATTTAATGCAATCTTTAGGTCAAAGAAAAATTGGTTTTTACAATTTCTGCAGTAGACCGCCTGCCAGAATGGGACCAGCATCCTACTGGCAGTTTCCCTTGATTTACGGATTTGTCTGTGCTGCTTATGCTCCACTGTGGCCATTTAGCTGCCAGAACAGAGACGGGTACCCCTCCCACCCTGTTTAGGGGTTCTTAAAGAATTGGGCAACCCCCTGAGTTTCTTGAAACCAGTGGCTGTTTGTAAATATATATCTCACAAGACTACATACAATTATATGGGGTGCATGGACCCCCAAGGCCCCCTGTGGTTTTTAAGACTCCAGGTTAAGGAACCAGTGTGCTAATAATTTGAGCAATACAATTGCCCTAGGAAAACACTGACACAGGTCAGGTGAAGGAGGGATACATTAACTATGACAAGAAAGAACAATGGTTGAATTTATTTTTCAATCTGTTGTAGGAACTAGTTCTCAGAGCTTTCCTGCATTTTCAAGAGCAGAAGTCCCTAACCCAGGCAGCTGTCCAGCAGCATAGGAGACTGAGACTAGCTGTTGTACTGAGAACATGCAGGGTTTCTGCTCATCAACTCAGGGCCTCAGGCCCTCTTTGTAACCAGCTTCACTTGCAAAAAGGGGCATTTCAAATTTTAGTTTGATTCTAATGGATAGGTCAGCTTTTCTTAATAGAGAAAAATACTTTTAAGTATAGGACAATGAAGCTAAGTCCTTGGATCACTTAGCCATTTCAATCCAATATTCTGTCTCTAACATGTTAACATAAAGAGTTGCCCCACAAGTTTATTTCTTGCTTGCACTGAGAAAAGCGAGTTTACCAGGAACCTCACCTAGGTCTCCAGGACTCCTTAGCATTATTGGAGTTAGGGGTGAGGGCTTAGAAGGAAGCCAGGACTACTGAAAACTGGGACTTGTAGAGCTGTAATGATGCTTCCAGTTCTCCAACAAATTGCCAAATTAGGTTTATTCTTTGGTTACCACACTTCTGAATGGCCATCAAGGGGCAGATGCTGGGCTTCTGTTTGTAGCCACTTTCTATGCCCCCAAATACCAAGCAACTCATAAAGGAAGCAAGCACAGTTTAGTACTGAAGATAAAGCTGAATGTATTTTACCTGAACTGCATTTTGAAGCATACTAAAACCATAGGGTGGGGGGCAAACCGAATTTCAGGTAGTTTTGCAAACTGATAAACAGTTTTTTTTACCCTTCCTCAAAAGTACAGTCACATCAATCAACACGATTTTGAATCTCTAGAAAGCACACTGAAACTGTTACATTTACAAACATTAAATTTATTATAACTAGAATGAATGTAATGGGTCTCAAATTTGGCCACCTCATAGCTCCGCTTAAGGAGGGGATTTTTTTTAAACAGAAAAATGCATTTTAACTTGGTCAAATTACTTGCACATTAAGAAACAACGTCTAAAAAGGAAAACAAGAAAAGCAACCCTTCAGTTTCACATAATTAACGGGAGAAAGCACACAAGTAACATCATGGCTAAATTTACCAAACCAAAGCCAGGGGGATTTTCTCTTCTGATTATGTGTCATAAAAAGGTCCGCTGTCTTATATACACATGTATATAATGTTACATTCCAGCACTGTAAAAAGTCCCCTTTGCCCCCCCCCCCCCCCCCCCCCCCCCGCCCCAGAGTTTTCAGTCTAGTCGCCGAACTTGGAAAGCGGCGCTCGCTCCTGCTGCCGGTGTAATTCGTTCTCGGTCAGCAGCTGGAGGTTCTCGGCGCGCAGCCGGTCCAGCTCCAGCTCCAGCTCCCGCACTCGCGCATCGACGCCGCCCAGCCGCTTGCTCTCCAGCCGCAGTCGGTTATTTTCGTCCTCCTTGCGCGAGAGGCACTTCTCCAGCTCCAGGTACTCTTTGATGAGCTCCTGCTTGCTCATGTTCTGCAGGCTCTCGGCGTGGTACCGTTCGTACGTCTCCGAGAAGTCCCGCTGCAGAAACTCGCTGCCATCCCCTCCCATGCCATCGCTGCCCCCGTCCTCCTCACCAACTTCTTCCACAAAGTCCTCATCGCTGGTGTCGTCGGATTTGGCGGCTGCCCGCTTGGGGTAGAGGCCGGTTTTGAGGTCAGGCTCCTCCTGATCGTGGTCATCCATGAGGAACTGCGTGGTGTTATAGGGCGCGACCGGCTGGCCCTTGGCGAACATCTCAGCTCGAACCCGCGAAGCTCGCAGGCTCTGCTTCTCGTCGAACTTTTTCTTCTCCTCCCAAGTCAGCTTGTAGTATGGCTTCCAATGCCGCTTCTTCTTGGAGGGGCGCCTCCGATGTTTTTTCTTGCCCAACTGTCTCTGCTGCTGTCCCCATGCCTCCTCGCCTCCAGCGGCAGAAGCACCCAACTTGGTGGCCTCCGAGTCATGACCTGGCAGGACAAGGGGCTCGGACATCGGTTCCCCCTCCACCGACGGGGAGGCACCGCCAGTAGATAGGTCCTCCCCGTTCTGGCCCTTCTCGCCTGTTTCCAGGCAGCTTGATTCTGGACGGTCATTGGTCTGCAGTGGGGGCGGCTGGAGCTTCAGGCCCCCTTCTCTCTCCTGTGCCGGACGGCCACCCGACTGCGGGGACGCTCTCGATTGCCACCTACTGTCCTCCTTGGGCACCCGTTCCTCCGCGCCTGGGGGGCGCTCAGAGTTCTGCTCCTCATGGACAACAGCAGCACCTGTACAGTTGCTAGTTGGAGGCTGGTGTTGATGTTCTGACAAGAGTGGCTCGGCCATGGCTTTAGTAGAGTCCTCTTCAGGAAGTTTGAGAAATTTTGGCTTAAGAAAAAAAAGGCTTTTCTTTCTTTTTAGAGAATGTCCAACAAAGTCCTCTTCGGCCGGTAATTTCTGCAGTGACTTCTTTCGTCCGTCTTGTCAGCAAACTCAAATCGCAACTTGGAGTTAAGTCAATAAAGGGTTAAGCGCTCACAAGCGTGGCCAACTAGCAAGTCCAAGAGGATGCAGCAGCAGGCACAGTACGTAATGTTCAGACTGGTGGGCTTCACGCCTCCCCGCTGAGCGCTCCCACGATGGAGGAGTTGGTGGGCAAGGAGGTGAGGCTTAAGTCCAATGGGTTAAACCCAGCCCCGAAGGGGTTAAAACTACCCGATGACGCTGCCTCCGAGGGGCCGAATCCACAAAGGGTTAAATCCCCTGCCGCAGAGCCCACAAGGGGTTAAAGTCCCAGAGCCACCTCCTCCCACTTCCACGGGTGTCGCTCCAACCCGAGCTCCCAGTTCCCCAGGCCGGGCCGGAGCCTTAGCCGAGGACAGACAAACTCATCTCCCCTCTGGCTCGATGCTCCGCTCAGTTCTCCTCCGCCTCCTCCTCTTTTCCTCCCTCCCTCCTCCCCCTTCAGACAGCTCTTCTTCCGCCTCCTCCTCCGGCTTCCCCTCCCAACCTGACTTTCCACCTGCCAACTTCCAACTGCTGTCTCCTAGCCCTCAGCGCCTCTTATATATAGAAGCTTGCTAGCCCCGCCTGTGCGCATGCGTAACGGAGTCCAGCTGTGGGGCTGCCGGGAGTCGTAGTCCTCTTCTTTCGGGCCCGCCGTCGTCGCGCGCCGTGCAACGTAGCCAATCGTAGAGCGCGTAGGGGGCGTCTCCCAGGCCGCCTCCTTCCATCGCTTTGCAGTCGCTGAAGAAACGTGAGCGGTCATTGGGCAAGAGTTATTCGTCTCTCTGAGGGGGGGAAGACCAATCGCAAGGGAGATGGGGCGGATTCTGGACCATACCATTGTGCTTCAGGAATACAAGAAGATTCCATGACCTTTGGGAGCCTAGACAGAATATTTTTATTAAAAGGTGCGTTTAAAAGATCAATGTCGTATTCTGCTCTCAGCGGAAAGGTTCGGATAGTTATAGACGGTTTTCAACTAGTGCAAAAATGGTTTGTCCCTAAAAAGTAGTCCCTGAAGTGTAAAAGAGGATTAAATCCTATAAAGAGAGATGTTGGTCATGATTACTGACATTGGATTCTTAAAATTATAGTAATGTCTCTGAGGCAGGTGACGAGTTCCTGGGAGAGAGATAAGCGGAAGGATATTGTGGACAAATATTTATTTAAAAAACAAAACCCGAAAAGCGCATGAAGAAGTAAACAAATGAAGAATTAAGAAGTGCCGCCTTAAAGGCACAGTGTGTCGGCCTGTTGTGCATCAGCCTCACGCTAGGCCTCGGGAGATGAGAGGGCGGGTTCGAGTCCTGAGTGACGTCGGCCCCCCAGGCTACCCTGGGGACCCTTGGGTGAGAAAAGCCACCTTGGCCAAGAGCCATCTCCACACCAGGGGCGAAAGCAAAATGGACATCCGGGGTCTAGCACTTCGTCTGAGTCCCACCGAAAGCGCGTAATGGGGGCAAAGGAGTCACCCCGAACCCCGGATTCGGCCGACGACAATGGCCTCCCTGGGCCTTGGCTTCGTCGCTTTTGAGACCGCAGACCTTTCCCTAGCAGCGACAGGAGAGTTCGGGCCAGTTGATGCACATCTCTGTCGGGGAGGGATTCAAAAATCAATGCGATTCCGAAAGGAGCACGGTGTTGTCCAGAGATGAGATTGGGGGAAAGAGGCTTGGAGGAGGAGAGCTGGAGGCCTTCGCTGAAAACGGGTGTGCTTGGCCCCGGGCCGTAGGGTAGATTGGGGGTGAAGTGGGGTCCTGTTTCCCCCTTAAAAGGAGTTCGGACTCTGGTCTTTCACTTGAAGGGCTCTGAGAACTCTCTTTAATCCCCTTGGTGTAATTGCTGCAGCTTCCTTTGCTTGAGTACCTAGTGACCCTTGCTTCTTATTTCTCCCTACATCCCAGCCAGAATCCAGTGAGAGTGTACACATGGAACTATTTGACCACCACAGCCATGTGAGACAGGCCAGGATTTAGCCTCCATTTTAGATGTAAGAAAGCACTAAAACTTGGAGTACTAAAGTGACTTATCCAAGGTCATGGGGCAACCAAGTGGCAGATCAAACTAGAGGTCCTGTCTACCTGACACCCAATACCATTTTTATTTATTTATTGTGTCCAAAACACAAAATCCAAGGCCTGGAGAGCTGGCTCAGCAGATAAGAGCGCTGGCACCCACATGTTGTCTCCAGATCCAGGGACTCTGATGCCTCCCATGGGCACCAGGCAAGTACCTGACTCATACATACACACAGGAAAAAAACACTTCAGATATGTAAAATAATAAAAATCATTTAAAACCGGGCGGTGGTGGCCCCAGCACTTAGGAGGTAGAGGTAGGCAGATCTCAGTGAGTTCAAGGCCAGCCTGATCTACAAAATGAGTTTCAGGACAACCAGGACTATTACACAGAGGAAAAAAAACTGTCTTAAAAACAAAAAAATTTTAAGACAAAACACAAAATCCCCCTCCCCCCATTTCCTCAAGAACCCTGGACTTTATTGCCAATCACTTCAAACGGTTGCAAACAATGCAGTTAGCAGTCATCTGCTAGGGCAGAAAAGAGCTTTAGAGCAGTAAGTTGCTCAGACTACAGTGAGCAACCCAAGCACAGCAGCTGAGATTGCAGGTAAAGCCTCGTGAGCCTTGCTGTCCGGGCTGGGCAGTCTGTGGACAGGCCTTCTGGAACAGCTGCCTGGGACGGAGCATAAAGAACATTTTACTTTGTCTCTGTTGTGTTTGAGGCCAGGCCTCATCCTCCTGCCTCAGCCTCCACAGTAATGGCAGCTGTAGGTGCATGCCACCTCCCAGGGTGTAAAAGAGTTGAGGAACTTCAGAGAGGTGGGGGCGGGGCGGGGGGGGGGATAGCAGTTGTAGTGCAAGGCTGTCTCCAAGGGGAAGCAAGAAGGAATGCTCCCTGGGGAACATTCAGATGTTTTGAAAATTCTAGCTTGTTTCCATGTACTTCCAGAAACTCAGGTCTGTCTGAAAATCCTGCCTTTCTCTGTCTTCATGACGTAGGAGGCACCAGGAGATGAAGAAGAGGAAAAGGGGCACGGGCCGCGGGAGAAGATGGCTCCGTAGCTGAGAGCACGTGTCCTCTCAGTTCACAGCTGTTGGTCCAGCTCCAAGGGTCTGGCGCTGTCTTCTGACCTCCACCAGTGCCAGACATATGCGTTACAGGGACATACATGCCAACAAAATTCATGCATAAAATGTAGCTTAACACTACACCCCAGACAGGGTTTTGCTGTGTGACAGTTTTAGCTGTCCTGGAACTAGCTCTGTAGACCTGGAACTCACAGAGATCCTCCTGCCTCTGCCTCCCCAGTACTGGGATTAAAGTTGTGCACCACCACCGCCTGGCTGTATCTTAAATTTTTTCTTAAGAGGAAATAGGTGGAGGTTTAATCCCAGCACTTGGATCTCTGTGAGTTCAAGGCCAGCCTGGTCTACATAGTGAGTTCTGGGACAGCCAGGGCTACACAGTGAAACCCTGTCTCAAGAAACAATTTTTTTTTTTTTAAGAGGAAATGAGGTCTTTGGAAACAACTTGACTGGGAGAGTCAAAACTTCCAAACTTCAGGCATTGGAGGATTTGAGCATTCAGTCAGGGATGTACACGTTAAAGTTGAACCTAGACAAAGTTTACTGGGCAGTGTTAAGCCGTGGGGTCACCAGGCTGTAGGGTTCCAGAACCTCTAGCCCTTTGCCAAGCATTTCCCACTCTCCAGTCATTGTTCAACGTCTCAACTCCTGCCTTATGAGGAGGAGACCATTCCTAGTTCGCAAACAAGCTGACCCCGACTCAGTTCTTCAGGTCCCAGCTTGCAGAGCCAACGCGTGAGCTGTGAAGCTGACAGTCTACTTTCCCTGCATGCATTGTGGTCCCAGTTCGATGGGCTCCCACTGCCCAGCTGATGTCTGCCTTCAGCACAGGCTTTTCAGCCTTTTCCTGTGACCCTGGACTGTGCCCTGAAGTACCAGTGCAGTGTGTGGTGTCTGTCTTTAGGGCTACCCTCCTGCTGCTAAGGCCCCACAGAGTGACTGTATTTCCCATTAGGCCTAAGGATGGCCAAAGCCTGGGGAAGTGTTCAGACCTACAGTGTTAGGGAACTCAGAGGAACACACCTAGGGATCTCCAGTACCATCCTTTTCCCCCCAGAGCAAGGGAGAGCCTGAGGCTCAGGTGGTAGCAGCTGCCAATAGCTAGCCCTGTAGGCTCTGAGCACTAGAAGGTGCTGGAGTGGTCAGTTTAAAGCGGAATACAGTCTAGTGGTTGGAGGCAAGCCAGGCAGGCACAGCAGGGTCGGCCCACAATATCCGATCAGAGGCCAGGCCACCTAGGCAGTTCTTAGCAAAAGTTCTAAAGCCAAGCAAGCAGCTCAAGAGGTCTGTGCAGGTCCTGGGTCCACAACTGGGGATTGGTGGTCAGGCAATGGAGGACCTGTCCCCACCCCTCCCAGTGGGTGGGCCCGGGCCTTCTAGAAAGTTCTCTGGGAAGAACAGGAGGACATGATAGGAAGTAACAACCAAGACTTAAGTAAGAAGTTAAGTCTTCTTCTAAACGACGCTGAGGAAGAGGCAGCATTGTTTGGAGCCCACCGCAGAGAACTCCAATTCTTAGGGCGGCGTGCAAAGTTGGGCCAGCAGCCCTCCCCCCCTAGGGCGGGGCCAACCAACCCCCGGCTCCTGATAAGAACTCTAAGCCTCCACGCGACACCCCCCCTCCCCCCGCCCAGGTACTCCCTGACCCCAGTAGGAGACCTGTTTTCTCCTGGTTCCTCTAGGGAGGAGGGAAAATATTACTTATAAGGAAGTCCTAGCTCTTCTTCAGAGCATTTAGGGAGTGGGACTGGACTTGTGTCTCGCGCGACCCGCCCGTTTTCCCGCTCTTTTCGTGGGCGCCCAGACGGCAGACTGAGGAGGTTTTCTTTTGTTTAATGAAGGGTTCAATTGCACGTGAATCTTCAGTGAAGTCCTGAGCGCGATGTGAACTTGTGCGTGTGTGCGGGGCGTCCCAGCCCCCAGCCTGCACACCCCTCCCATTCCTCCCGGCTCCAGTCTTTCCTGTAACCTTTCAGCCAATCAGTCTTCAGGCCAGGTCCATGTCCCAACTCGCCCAAGAGCTGAGTCTCGGCAGGGAGCCGACTCGGCAGGAGCAAAGTCAGGTGACCCAGAGGGTGGGGTCGGAGGGTGCTCACCGCCAACCCCAAAGCTAGGATGTGCACCATGACAGCAGCCAATCCAACCGCTTGGGGACTCTGGGCGTCAGTGCGAGTTGCAGGGAAGGGTGGGGTCTTATTGCCCCCCCCCCCCCCCAAGGAGGGCGTGCCAAGGCGAAAGAGGATAGGAGGGGTTTCTAATGCTGTTTCCCTAAACCTAGGGAGGCTCAGGTCACGGCAGGACGTGCGCGGGGACTCGTCATAGCCTTCTCAGTTGCTAGAGAGACCCCTTCCTTGAGTCACCTCTTCTGGGTCCGAAACTGTCGGAAAAGCCACTGGACAACGAAGGGCCACAGGATAAAGAAGAGCAGCGTGGGAGCCGAGAGCCCTAGGGGCCAAGGCCGAGTCCTGGGTGGCCTCTGCAGCCAAGAGGGAAGGAGTCAGAAGCCAGCCCAGCTTCAGGACAGCCCGCCTCCTAGAAACTTACTTCCAGACCTCTTTTGGCCTGGCCTCCCGGAGACTGGGAGGGTCCTAAGCCTACCTGTGCTCCACTAACCTGAAGCGTGCCCCTCCCCTCCCCCTCCCCCACGGGTCCAATCCCAGGTGAGACAGCTTCCAAGCCGGCTCCTCCAGGCCTCAAAAGGACCAGACTAGTAGTACTGTACCGGAAAGATGTGTACTGGAAGAAACAAAGCTCATATTTCAAACAAGGACCCAGCACTTCCTAGCATGTGCAAGACCCCGGGTTTCACCCTAGCACAGCAAAACACAAGAGATACAGAAGACGGGCATGTGGCCCTTGCCTGTAATCCCAGCACTCAGGAGGCTAGGCAGGAGGATCACAGGTGAATTCCAAGGCTAGCCTGACCGACACATCAGGACCCTGTCTCAAAAAAAAAAAAAAAAAAAAAAAAAAAAAAAAAAAAAAAAAAAAAAAAAAAAAAAAAAAGAAAAAAGAAAAAAAAGAAAGAGGAAGAAGAGGAGGAGGAAGAACAAAGTCAAAAAAGAAGAAAATGAAGCCCTGCTTTTTCTGTGGGCAATTTTGTTTCAGGAAAACCCTACAGAAAACAAAACGCTCACCTGTTGGAGGAATAAGAGAATGGAAAATCAACAGATTTTTGCAAGCACTAAATAAATTACTGTCAAGGCAAAGATCATCAGTTGTCAGACACAGTATGGCAAAATGGTTGATGAGCTGGACATTCCGTGGCTTCAAGAGGAAAACTTGACATCATGGAGTTGGGGCCAGACTGTCACCAGGCCAGCAGTACACGCTAGACTCCTTAGTGGTAGAGGGCCAGGTACTACTACCTGTCCCCTAGTGTCGCCTGATGTGAGGAACATCACTCTGATATGGTTTGTTGTTTGTTTGTAAAACAATGATGACTTTATTTTATGTGTGTGTGTGTGTGTGTGTGTGCTTGCCCCATGGGTGTGGGAGGTGCCCATCAAGGTCTGATTCCCTGGAACTGAAGTTCCAGCCATTTCTGAACTGTCTGCCATGGGTACAAGGAAGTGAACTTGGGCCTCCGGATGAAGAGGAGGCACTCTTAACAGCGGATCCATCTTTCCAGCCCCTGATTTCTGTTTTTAATTTATTGAGACAGGGTCTTAACTTTATAGCTCAGGTTGGCCTGGAACTCACAGCAACCCTTCTGTCTCAGCCTCCCAAGTGCTAGGATTACAAGTGTAAACTACACTGGGTGGCAGAGGGGAGGAGACAGGCAGGCAAATCACCGTGAGTTCAAGACCAGCCTGGTCTACATAGTGAGTTCCAGGCCAGCCAGAGCTACACAGTGAGCCCATATCTCAAACAAATCACACACGCACAAAACCCAAGGGCTAGACAGAGGACTCAGTAGGTAAGAGCGTTTGCTGGTCTTGCAGAGGACCCAGCATTCACATGGCAGCTCACAACTGTCTCTGATTCCACTTTCAGAGGATTCAACACCCTCTCCTGACTTCTGAGGATACCAGGCACACATGTGGTACATATACATACATGCAGGCAAACACTCATGCACATACACCTAAATAAAAACCAAAACACTAAAACCAAAACCAAGTGTAAGCTACCTCACATAGTCTCTGGCCAGAATGTTTAACTAGATACAAAGCCAATCTTTGGATCTTAACTCATTTCACAGAAAATACGGTGTACAAGGAAATCAGGCATGATCAGGCCCCAGAAGTGGGGCAGTCTGCATGCCCCTGTGCCAGGACTAGTTTAGGCTGAGGGGTGTAGCTCAGATGCTGAGCTAAATGCCCTGCGTTTGACACCTGCTTCCAGCAGAGGCAACGACAGAAATAATGGTTTAGGGACAGTGTGACCCCAGACTGATCAACAGCGGCTGAAACAACTCGGAAAATCTGAACTTGGACTGGATATCTGGTGATATTACAGAATTGTAATAAAATATATTCAGAATTCAGAGTGGAACTTTATGACGTTTACAATATATATTTTTTTTCTTTTTGGCTGGTGTGGAACTCAAAGCTTAGGCAAGTCTCAAGCTTCACGGATTCCCCCTGACTCTGCCTCCAGGGTGTTAGGATTGTAGGTGTGCTGTGATGGTTGATTTAAAATGCTAAGGGTCCTGGCACTTGGGAGGCAGAGGCAGGTTGATCTCTTCAGTTCAAAGTCAACCTGTTCTACAGTGTAAGTTCTAGGACAGGCAGGGCTGTTAACACAGAGAAACCCTGACTCAAAAAAACAAAACAAGGGGCTGGGGAGATGGCTCAGCTGTTAAGAGCTGCTGTTCCAGAGGTCCTGAGTTCAATTCCCAGTAACCACATGGTGGCTCACAACCATCTATAATGAGATCTGGTGCCCTCTTCTGGCCTGCAGGCGTATATGCAGGCAGAACACTGTATACATAATAAATAAATCTCTAAAACAACAACAAGTGCTGAGGATCAATGAGATGGTTAGCAAGAAAGGTGTTTGTGGCCAAGACTGATGATCCTAGTTCAATCTCCAGGACTCACAGTAGGAGAGATGTAGTTGTCCTGTGACCTACACACACACACACACACACACACACACACACACACACACACACACGTCATCCCCCGCATTTTAGCTAGGTCTCATGTCCCAGGTCTGTGATTTTCAGTTACTTAGCAAATGCTAGGTTTAAACTTCTTTCCCACTTTTGGTGACGCTAGATTGAGCCCAGTGCCCCAGGGCTTCTAGGGAAATGCCCCATTACTGTGCTGTATCTCCAGCCCAACCCCAGCAACTGTATAATCTACGAAACAGTCTAATTGCTAATGGGCAACTTGGTAAGACCTTGTCTCAAATAAAAGACAAGCTGACGAAGTGGCTCAATGGTAGAGTCCTTGCTTAGCACAGGGGGTGGCTGGGCGGGGGGGGGGGGGGGGGGGGGGGGGGGGGGGGGGGGGGGGGGGGGGGGGGGGGGGGGGGGGGGGGGGGGGGGGGGGGGGGGGGGTCCTTCACATTTCAAGTGGGTAAAAGGTGGCATGGGAATAGAGAATGCTGTGGGGGAGGGGCAGCAGTGTTGAAATCCTTGTCACCAAGGCTCAGATCCACCATACTCAGTAGGTTAGGGGTCACACCAGAGATCTCCAAATAGAGCAACGAAGCCTACTCCCGGTTTAAACACCCTTTAACCACATTCTCACTAGGATGGGTGTACCCTGTGCTTCATCAATGCTATTAACCGGAGCCCACGGGAGGAGACCGGTAGGCTCTGGGTACAGCAAAAGCAGTTCAAGGGCTTCCATGGTGTGCCCCCAGGCAAGCTAAGTTCTCGGGCCTCTATTTCCTCTTCTGCAAAAGGGAAATCAAGTCAGGTGTGGTGGTGAGGTTGTAACCTCAGTATTTGGGAGGCTGAGGTTGGAGGAAGGTAAATTCTAAACCTTTGGGCTACATAGCAAGATCTCACCACAAACAGACAAAAGCCAACCCTGTAGGCCACAATGTGAGTGAGGAGAAAGAGAGAGAGAGAGAGAGAGAGAGAGAGAGAGAGAGAGAGAGAGAGAGAGAGAGAGAAGGGGAGGGAGAGAATAAATCAGCAGGACAGGGACCTCTGTGAGTTCAAGGCCAGCCTGGTCTACAGGGCTAGTTCCTAGACAGTCAAGGCTACAAAGAGAAACCCCAACTTGAAAAGTAAAAAAAACCAAACCAAACAAACAAACCAGAAAGAAACAAACAAACACCTTTTGGGCGGCCGGCAGAATGGCTCCCTTCTGGAACTCAAGGCTGGGACAGGCAGATTCACAGAAGAGCAGCCCAGGCTACACAGTGAGTCCCTAACCAGCCTAGGTGATTGGCTTGAGTCCCTATCTCAAACAACACCAGTGAAAACAAAACAAAGGGACACTTAGAGGAGGGGTGTGGGCAGATGACAGGAGCACAGCTGAACAGTTGGGGGCAAACCCTAAATCTAGGAACTGGAGTGCTGCCTGAGGGCCCACAGCGACCCCATCCCAATGCAAAAGCAGACACTCTGTGGCCCTTCCAACTCTTGAGGGTGACTCCCCGCTTGGTTTTTCTTGGGCTGGGCTATCAGTGAGGGGTCCCCCTTTCCTAAGAGGCTCTTCCCACACTCCCACCCGATGGCTTCCCCAACTAGAACAGAAGCCACACCACTCAATTCTCTGCACAGAGCAGTGGACGGTGGAGCCATGGGACCAAAGCCCCAAACAGCCCAGTGAGGAATCCAGGGTGGAGTCCTGAGGCGCTCTTGCCCAATCTCTCAGTGAAGGAGGGAGACACTCACCTGCTCACGTGGCTGGGACTTGCTCTCCAGGCTCTGTAATCTTCTCTGGACATTCCTCATGCTTTCCTGCATGGCCCGGACTGTTCTTACCAGCCATTTGTCCAGTTCCTGGGGCCCCATCAGGCTACCTTCCAACCCCTCTGCGGAGCATAGAGACAAAGGGCAGGGGATGAAGGAGAAGTCTAAGAGCGTGCTGACCCTGTCCCCATTGTGGCCGTTACAGCGTCCATTCCCAGGACAGAGTAATGGGCTGCTTGCTGGCATGGGGCTGACCTAGCACTGCCACCGATGAGCTGTGTGACTCCTGAAAATGAGGGGACGATGTCCTCTTCCTCACGCACCTGGTGTGCTCAGGGGACTAAACAACAATTTATGGAAGTGTCCCTTTGGCGATTCAGCACGCAGGACATTCTAGACCAGGACAAGGCAGACAGAACTCACAGTCTCCCTCTGAGAATTCTGAATGTGAGGGAGGGAGAGGACAACTTCCGGCCGCCATGCACCTGTGTCTATAAGCTGCCTTTGCTGAGGGCGCAGAGGCCAGCAACCTCAGAAAACGCCAGGCCAGGGACTGTGCTCACCTTAGGCTGTTGGGGAGCCCTCCCAGACTGCTCTACTGGACTTTCCACCTTTGTCCTAAGAGATCAACACAGGGAAAGCTTGGGGTACCGGGACCATGGGCAGGACAGAGAGCTCACCTTTTTCACTGGGGGGCTCAGGGTTGCCTCCGGTGTCCAGCTCTGGGCCAGCTGCTCCCCTCTGCTCTGCGCAGGCCTGCTGAGCTGAGTCGCAGGTCTCAGGGTGGAGGTGGGGCAGCTCTGACCCGGGAGGAACAGGGGAGAAGAGGGACGGTCTCACCAACTCTGGCTCCAGCTGCTCCAGAGAATCACAGAAAACCTCCAGGTCCAAGTCCCTGGGTGGCTGGGGCTCTGGAGAGGGAAAAGGCAAGACTCTTGTGAAGGGGAGCTGCACTGGCATTGGGGTTCCTACTCTGGAGGGAGGGGAGAGTGGGCAGCTGAGTAGCAAGTCCTTCCTCAGGGGACCTAGAGTTCTTGCCATAGCAAGTACGATGGGCCCAAGACACAAGACCCTGAAAACAGCCTCAGAGCCTTCCCTTGGCCTCTGAAAGCACAGGAAGTCTTAGTGCCCCTGGACATGCTGATATAAAGGGGACACCAAGTGTCTCCTCTCCTGAAGGTGTTCCTTCCCAGTCTAGGCATGGCTCTGTATCTCCCCTGCTCAATGGCTAACCTGGACTTGGAGGTACTGGCTCCTTCAGGAGGCAAGAAGGCTCTGGAGCAGCCTGATCGTCTCTGTCCAGCGCTGGCTCTTTCCAACCTATGGAGACACAGCCCGTGAAGCGGGGGCAGGGGAGAGGCTGGCATCTGCCAGTGAGATCAAGTCCCTTGTCCCCATTAGTCATGCATACGAGCTGATAACTAGCCCAACGGGGCACTGATTGAGGGCCTTACAGATAGCACACCTGGGGCCCTTTGCTCCTACTGCCTGCCCCACACAGCAGCCACCCACCAGCCCACACCCGAGGCAGTTCGCTCCGTATTTTCAGGGCTCCCATCCTGGAGATCTGACCTGTGACCCTTCTTAGGAAGGTGTCTGGGGGCCTCGGCATGTCAGGGATCACCTGGTACAGGGGCTCAAAATAACCAAACATATCTTCCGCCACTTCGCCCAGGGGCACTGTGTCAATCACCTGTGCAGGAAGGGTTCTAATGGGACAGGCTGGCTCCTCCCACTCCCACCCCAATTCCCTCCGGGTGGAGCCTCTCCCCTTACTACTTTCTTCCCCTGTACCTCCACCTGGCATCAGTCAGGATTGGGAGAGAGGGCAACAGAAAGGTGATTTCCCAAAGGATATCAACGGGTAGGAAACATGGAAGCGCACCCCTGAAGAGTGAGGGGCAAGCCACCCTTAGGGACTGAGCGCCACAGCCCTAACTACCTTCTGTGCCACCAGCTTCATCTCAGAGATGTAGGCAGACATGGCTTCCCCCCTGCTCATCTTGCCCAGGCTGTTCCAGGCATCCCTAGGAGGCAGAGGGCTGTCAGAAGCTGGGTGACAGCTGAGGCATTTGTACCCTGCCCGAGGGAAGCTCACCACTTATAACGTCCAATGGGGTCCCAGAACCCAGGCCGGGGGACCAGGCAGGGCCCCATGGTAGCCTGCTTGTAGTAGCTGTAGAATCGCAGCATCTCTTCATAGGAAGGGCGGTAAGAGCCTGCGCAGAGCAGAGGGTTGGGAAACAGAGGGCACCGCATCAGCCCCGGTTCCAAGAGGATGAAGGGGGCACCTTGGAAGGGCAGAGGCGGCTACGGATCCCACCCCTGGCATCTAAAACAGGAAGCAGAGAGGAACCCCACCACAGTCTAGGGAGGAACTTGGCTGTAAACATTGCAGGGTTCAGGCCCAGTTCCATTTGGGGGTCAGAGCCTAAGCAACCATCCTGAACCCCAAAATGCCAATCCCTACAGCCTCACCATTCTTAGGCAGGTTCTGAATGACGCTGACGGCGGCCTGGAACTGTTTCTGGCAGTCGGGTTCTTCCTTCTCAGTGCCCATGCTACTCCAAGCTCGGGAGCCCTACTTTGGAGCAACTCTGCAAGAGCGAGTGTCAGTGTTACCAGGCCTCATGGTCCACGGTGGCACTGTAAACAACCGGTCTAGTTCCCAGAGAGGCAAACAAAGTCCCAAGACCTGAATGCTACCCCAGGAGGCCAGAAGTTGAGCTGAGGGTCCTTCTCCTACCTCAAGGCAGCGTCAATGGGGCCAGAGTGGCGAGGACCACCAGTGTGGCCATGGGTGGAAGGAGAGGCAGGTGGCAAGGGTCTCAGAGCCCTGTACGTCCTCAGATGCACCTCTCGAGGTTGCCCATTTCCAATTCCTGAACGGGCGAATCGGCGAGCGAGGAGGAGTCGGGAGGGGGGGTGGGCACCCTGGCTTCCCGCGCCCCGGCACCTCACTCAATCTTAGGCGCCCACTGACGGGACACCGGGGTCCTCTTCTCACCACTAACCAGTGGTTTCGGATTGACCTCTGGGTTTAGGGGGGCAGGAATAGGGCGGGATGCAAAGCGAGAAGAAAATTAAAGCCAATGAGAGACACCGTTTCACATTCGGCTTTTATATCCTACCCAGTCAGAAAGGCTCTTTCAAGAGTATGCAAATAGTTTCACTCTGCCTCTCCCATTCAGGCGGGGCTGAGTTCTGGGTCGCACTCCGCACCGCCCGACAGCCAGAAGCGGGCTGCAGCGCCTCCCGGTGGACACACTGAATGGTCGCGGCGTCCGCGCGCCCCCTGGTGGACACTCACGGGAGTAGGTCGGCTGATGCTGGCCCCGCCTATCCGAGACACCGCCACCCAGCTCTTGGAACGCGTCTACGCTGGCAATAGAGGCGAGTCCTGGAGCCCGGCGTTCCGCAGAAGGGACGCTGGAGCTGAGTTTTGGAAAAAGTCAGAGTGAACCAGAAAAATAACGAAAAAGAACATTCCTGGAAGGAATCAAAGATTAAAAGCCGAGGCGAAGGTTCGACAATTAGTAAGAAAATTCAAGATCGCAGAAAGGGTGGGGACTCAAGCAAGCACACAGAATTGCTGGGACTTGGATATGTGGGGACAGAAAAGAGTAGGGCAAGTAGATAGCGATTCTAGGTCCCGGGAAACGCAACTTTTAGCGTGGGACGCCTGGCTGTCGGCCGCTGCCAAGTGCCAGCTCTCTGTCCCTACCCAAAACTTGTGCTTGAGAAGCCACCTGGACAGCCCACCCTTCGCATTCACAAGTGTAAACCTAACACTACGTCGGCTCCCATAAAAGGAGGTTTTCCATGGGCTGACGTCACCAACACTTTCTCAGAGTGCGGTGCAGAAGATCCCTTGACCAAGGATGGAGTGTCGCTATGGTGTACCAAGTCTCTTAAGCTCTGAACCCCAGAACCAGATTTTGGGACTCTAAACTTAGTCGCAGATCAGTCCAGACCAGTTAGCTTCGAGACGTCCACCACTAAGGGGTGGCTACTGGCTCGGAGCTGAGAGGTTAATCCATGACGTCACTGCCTCAGCCTCCCGCCCCCATCCCTGCGCAGCTCGGTTCTGGGGTTCTATGGGCTTCCCCCGCCCCAAGGACCCTTTAGCCCAGCACGAGCCTCTATAGAGCTGTCCCCTGCCTGGCTCCCGAAAGGACCCGGCAAAAGTGGATGAAGCAGGGTCAGAGTCCCCAGAAAAAAGTGTCTGTGCGGGAGGACAGTCCTCTCCTAGGGTATTCAATCCCCTCTTACAGGGACTCTGGCCACTGGTGTGGAAAGACCAGTGGAAAGACGGACTCACTAGCAGAGGCGAACGCGTAGACGCGGGGGACGAACAGCTCCGGGCCCGGGGGTCCCGCAGGCGCCTCGCACCGCCCATTTCCAGCCTCGCTCCGCCCCCTCCACCTCGTCCCTCCCTCTCTCCCTCCTCCCGAGGTCTTCTCCTCCCGACTCTCACGGCGCCGCTAAGTTTCTTCGCTCGGGACCGCGCACTGGGCGCGGGCTGGGTGCAAGCTGTGTGCCGGTTGACCCGTCCTCGCTCACAGATCCCAGGCCCTCCAAGTCCATGCTGTGCGGCAGCTGGAGAAGATGCCGTCGCTCTCCCGAGGAGCCCAGGGTGTCCGCCCAGGTCTCAGCTCCCCTCGCGCTCCCGCCCTCGCCCGCGTCACCGGACAGCGGCACCAAGAGGCCTGGGCTCCGGGCACTGAAGAAGATGGGTCAGTGACACGCAAGGATGGGTCCGGGTGGGCACGGACTGTCTCCAGGGACAACCTGGAAGGAGCGGGTGTACAGGCCAACGGGCTTCCCGAGGGTGCGTGGCGCTGGGGAGGATCTGACCAAGAGCATCAATACTGTTCCAGATGGGGCTCACACCTGGGGGGTCACCAGATTCCCAGGCTGTGCCAGAAGGCTTGGATGTTCAGTCTCACCAGGAGGCTCCCGCCGGGCGGTGCTGGAGTGAGAACTTGGGCTAGGGGCGTTGATAGGGTCGCAGGAACTGGAGAAAGAAGGGAGAGATAAAAGGTTGGCGTTCGGTTGGGATTGTAGCTCAAATAGGGTACTTTGCTTAGCTGTAGGTTCGATCTCCAGTGTCCCATTCCTAGCATCTCATCAACTTGCTGTTGGTTAAACTCCCAGCATTAGAGAGGTGGAAGTAAACGGATCAACAGTTCAAGGTCGTTCTCCCCTACAGGGTAGGTTAGTTAATTCACATATCCCAACTTGGGATACGAGAGCGCTGTCTCAAAAAATTCATTAAAAATTTGGGGTGTGCTCACCTCCCTCCCTAGTGGGCATCTCATAGCACTTGCTGCTCTTGGCCCTAAGCAGCTGCTTACAGAAGGCCTCTGAAAGACTCTAGACTCCCAAAAGCCAGCCCTGTAGCTCTCAGGACCTCTCTGCCAGAGCAATCACAAAGCCCTGGCATGGCCGAGGGAATGGTCTGAGAATGCCCAGGTTCCTGCTCCAGAAGTGAGTAAAGTCGCTGGTTCTCAAGAAGCCCTGGAGTCAGCCCAGGGCTGTGGTGGTTTGTAGGTGTGTCACTCACCTTCCTGAGGTAGGTGGCTTAGTCCCCATTTCACAGAGGAGGAAACTGACTCAGACGTCAAAGGATTTCGTCTAGGTCACTCAGACTACCATCACAACTGGTGTACTCAGAGTCTGGGCAAAATAGGACTTGCGGGGCTTGAAGAAGGGACAGAAGTGAAAGCCCTTTATAAACTGTAAAGTGCTGAAAACCAAAGTGCTTTGTTGGGACTGCCAACCTCCACACTGGATTCAGGGGTCCCAAATGCCAGCCTTGGCTCCCCTCCACAGCTGCCCCCTCTTCTTCCTCATTCCACCTGAACGAGTCGGATGCCGCTCTGTGCCTAAGGCAGATCTTTGTGCCCCACCCTCCATGCAGTATTCAAGAGATCAATATTTATAGACCCAACAACAGACAAAGTAGACACAGTCCTGCCCTCAGAGAGCTAAATGACAAAGTAAAGGAGTCAGAAGATGGGCCTTGAGGAGGGGGGGGGCAGATTGTGATGCTAGGGAAACAGAGGGGAAACACTGGACCCCAGAACTTAAAGGATGCTCATGTGGATAGGAGAGAGTCAGAAGGACCCCTGGGGTCCCTCTCTGTAGAGTGATAGGCTTTGTTTGCATGGCAGGAAGGGTCCCAGAAAGGCCCCTGGCAGGAAATGTAATTGAGTCAAAGGAGTGGATGGACGGACAATGGGGTGATCAAGATGGGGGCAAAAGAAGGGCTGGTTGAAAGGAGGCAGAGGAGTAGTTTGGAAAGAGATGTTGGGGCTTGGGCAGGAAAGGTGTGGGGACGAGGATCCAGAGTCACCAAGAGGAGATGGGGATGGCTCCCTGATATGAAATCAGGAGTCTCTGGGAAGAGGCAGCACTATTCTGTGGCCTCCTGGTTTGTGGAGAGGAGTTGGCCGAGTGAGGCAACCTGCCACTGAGGCAGGACAGGGCTCTCAGGAGAAGCAGCCTGAGCCAGTGGCCCCCTAGGAGTTATGGATGTTGCTGGAGACAGAGACGAAGTTCCCACACACCAGATATCCTATCCTCCTGTGCCCATTTGCTGAACCCCATCAGTGGCCATGGTGCTAGGCCAGGGGCTGAGGCGGCAAAGCAGGGTGGCAGAGGCTTGCCCTAGAGGCACGTGGTGTACGAGAAGGAGATTTGTAGGCACATAATTACAGGAGAGCCCAGTCTGGCACGTGTCAGCTGAGCATGGCTCTGGGTAGTTCATCGTGGAACTATGTACGTATCAGAACATCTTCTTTGCCCTTCCTACCACTGGCTGGTTCTGTCCTGTTGAGTGATTGCTGAGTGACCATAGAGACAGGAATTCCAGTGTGTAGGGAATGCCACCTCCCCCAAGCAATGCTGATCTCCATGCTGAGCCCTTGGATAAAGGCAGCAACAAACTCAGTGGGCCTATGGCCCAGCCCCGTGACCCCCAAATGGCTAAAGCCCAGGCCTGTCACCAAGGTACCTTCTTTCCCCGTCTGCTCCTCCCAAGATGACCCTCATCATCCCCTATCAGGCTGAGAGAAAACAGCTCTTATTTCAGGTCAAGGAACTGGAACAGGGAGTATCTCAAAGGGGCCCGCGGGAGGAAAAGGCCCGTGAAGCCACAGTCGGGGGGAATGAGGCCAAGGGCAAGGGAGGAGAGTGATTGAGTGGGGGCCATTGGCAGTGCTGGGCTGTGCCTGAACATGACTGCCCACTGAGCTTGCCTCAGACTTCATCCTGCTTATTTCTGTCATTCCTGGAGCATGTGTCCTCCTTAGTGACAGAGAGACGGGAGATGGTAGGGTAAAACCCCCGCCAGGCAGCCATTAAGAAACCCTGGCGGCCTGCCACCCACAGTCAAGGTTCGGAGGACACACTTTATTAGCATAGTTAATGAGCGCTGACACCTTCATGCCATTGTGCTGCGTGGACCATCTCATTTAGTGCTCACAGTCATGTGAGAGAGACCGTACCCTGAGCCTCAGTTTACCAGGAAGTAACAGGCCCAGAGAGGGATCAAGGCTAGAAGGTGACCCATGCCTAGAATCCCAGCTCTAGAGAGAGGGAGAGGCCAGCCTGGCGTACATATTGAGTTCCAGACCAGAAAAGGCTATGCACCGAGGCAAGGCTTTGTCTCAGAAGCTAAAAGTGGCGGAGAGATTCAAATCCACGCCGTATGGTCCAGAGTCTAGACTCTAAACACAGAAGTGAAAGCTGTTCATCTGAGAGGAAATGCTGTTCCTCAGAGATGGCCTCCCAGGGCTGCCAATGAAATGCAGGATGCTAGATTGTTTTGGTTTGGGATTTTTTTTTATGTTTTTTTGTTTTGTTTTTTGTTTTTCGAGACAGGGTTTCTCTGTAGCTTTGGGGCCAATCATGTAACTAGCTCTTGTAGACCAGGTTGGCCTTGAACTCACAAAGATCCTCCTGCCTCTGCCTCCTGAGTGCTAGTGCTGGGATTAAAGGCCTGCGCCACCACTGCCTGGCTTTTTGTTTTTTGTTTTTTCTTTTTGAAAAAGGGTTTCTTTGTATAGTCTTGGCTGTCCTGGAGCTCGCTCCGTAGACCAGGATAGCCTTGAACTCACAGAGATCCTCCTGTCTCTGCCTCCCGAGTGCTGGTAGAGTAGAGGTGTGCGCCACCACCAGTGCTTGGCAGGATGCTTGATTTGAATGTTGGGTGGACAAAGAATAATTTCGGACATACATATGTATCTGCTACCTCTAGAATGTGTGTGTAAGTTGTAAACCCGTGGTTATTTGTAATTGTTTTTGGTCTGGTACTGGGGATGGAACCCAGGGTCTTGAGCATGCTGGATCAGCACTGACCAGCATCTCCAGCCCCATGGGCTGCACTTACACTGAAACGGTATCTGTTGTTATCTTAAATTCACCTGTAAGGGATCCCCTCCATTTTTGTGTTGTTTTGTTTTATTTTCCCCCAGCAATTGCTTTCTCTGCCGCCTGTCAGTGCCTGTGAGCTCAGGCTCCGCCCAGACCCCTAATCCTCTCAGTGAACCGAGGGCTGAGTAGGCACAAGCTTGCACTCACCCTCCCTGCTCGCCTCACTCCAACAAGCTGTCCTGGGTGAGGGGCTTTCCCTATGGCCTGTCCAGGATGTTCCCTGCGGGGTGAGTTGGGCTGGTCTGAAGTGGAGACGGCAGGAAGGGGACTTCAAGGGACCTTAGACCTAGCAGGAGCCTGGATTGGGTGGTGGAGAGGGCAGGGCAACCTTGTAGCCTCCCCCTCCCCCCCATCATCACCCCTTGACCCTGTTCAGCCTTGTTCTGGCCCAGCCAAGCCCAGAAGGCGCCACACCCTCAACTCCCTGGCCGTCAGGCCTCTGGGGGAAGCCCTGCCTACACTTCCTGCTTTTCTTGATTTTTTTTTCCCCAGGAATGCTATAGAGAGCGCTCCCTCCCTCTGGCCTCCGTGTGAGGGTCAGCTAGAACCAGGGAAACATCCCTGGTACCTGGGACAGTGGGGCTGGCCAAGGGCCTAGGGCAGGAAGGTCACTGGAAACACGGCTGTTGCACTGTGTGTCCTTCCCAGCACTTCATGGACCCAGCCCTTAGGAAATGCTGCTGCCTCCCACTCCCCTCACACACACTTTGGCAGGAGCGGTTGACTGCCCTGTTCCTGCATGTCTCACATTCCTGACAGAGCCCCGTGTGTATTTCCTGACTGACAGGGCAGTAGTACACACACACACACACACACACACACACACACACACACTACCTGTTTTCTTTCCCAGGCTGACATACACAGCCTATTTTCTTCCTCAGACTCTCTCTCCCTCCCTCCCTCTCTCTCTCTCTCTCTCTCTCTCTCTCTCTCTCTCTCTCTCTCTCACACACACACACACACACAC